CGAGTGGAATAATTGTTATATTAAAAACGCCCCCAAGAAATTATTATTTTGTAAGAAGAAACTGGATTTTTTAGCTGCCTTTTGATTTTAAGCTGACGCGTACGCTTACCATATTTGTAGATTATGGTATATTTGCTCATATACCATAATGGCTAAGCCAATAAAAAGTCTTGAATTGCATTATACAATGGTCCAGTTTTTAATAATCACATTTACCTTGGGAAGTAATTCAAGGGTTTTTTTTCCAGATCCCCTTCTTTTAACCAGTTTTCGCAAGTACAGAAAATCACAAGAGGACTGTCCGAAATTAACTTGCAAGTGATGTTACAACAAAAATTAGTCATGGAAACATTTCACGCCTTAACTTTTAAGATGATAAAGTTTCTCGAAAATGCGTTCCTTGCAAAGTGATTTTCTCCGAAATCGCAGAATTGAACCAAGCCGGAATTTATCGCTTCCATTTTCTCCAAAATTGATGCTTGAAAAATTAGTATCAATGACGATTTATACATACCACGAATATAATATGGTACCAACCACCGACGTCATTTTACTTGCATCAGGGTTTTTCTGCTTGGCTAAACCGAAATCAGCTATAAAGAAAAAAATAAGAATTGTCTTTACTGTTACGGGAAGGTTCTGATTTAAGAAGCATGGCAAAACCAAACGAAGCACAAAAAAAAGCTACTTACTTATTGTGACTTTATCATTTTCTCCCAGCATGATGTTGTTTGGCGTAAGATCCCTGTGGACGATGTGTTTTTCTTTATGAATATAACGAAGTCCTAAAATAATCTTGACAACAAAGAAGAGAGAAAAACGTTTTTTAAAGTTTTCAAGTACAGGTACAGAGGAGTGAGGAGAGCGAACAAACAAGCTTACAAACATAGAAATGCGCGGATGGATGACAGATCAACAAACGACACCTGTAGACAAGTATCTACACATATTCATAACATCAAGGGCGGGCACAGTTAGTTACACATACATATACATATATACATATGTTAATTGACCACTCCCCATGAGGGCTTTTCAGGGACAATTCCCACCCAGCAACCATCCCAGGGAAGGACATCCATCACACTGTAATCTCGTGCATGGGAAATTAACGTCTCCTACCCCTAACCCT